ACATATATACATATATATATATACATACATATATACATATATATATACATATATATATATACATACATATATATATATATATAACATATTTACAGCCTCTGCTCTCTGTTACCAGCCTGCAAAACTGTGTATTTGAAGCATATTTTTGATGAAATATCATAATTTTAATGTTGCCTGAAGCAATCCTCACACATGATATGTTCAAGGACCGTCGAAAAGATGAGAATCTGGTGATCATGTCTGTTTTACAGCTTCTTCTGTGATAAACGATGTCGTTTTGACGACTGGTTTTGGGGTTCAGAGGGTTAAAAGAAGATTATTGAAAACACAGTTTGAGGACAATAAAATAAATCTGTTTTTTCACTGATAAAAGATCTATGTGTGTAACATCTCACTCTCTTTGTGTATATGTTTCTGTTTTCAGGCCGTCCTCTGGTCGTAACTCTCTCCGCTCCAAAGCCACGACCGGAGGTAAATCTCCCAGAATGCACCTGTCTCCCAGCAGAGGGGGCGGGGCTACCTGGTCTCTGCAGCCGGAGCAGGTGGACCAGGTCTTCAAGGCGCTACGCAAAGGACTCAAGTATGTTGACTACTAGTGGACTTAAAGGTGTACTTAGTGCTGAAGTGATGGTTAGATTATGTGTACTGATGCTTCATATGGGATCAAGTGTGTGTTTTAATACTTTTATATCTAATGATGGATATATATGAATTAGATGGTTTATAGTTTGGCATCAATGTTATATCAGCATCAATGGACCATAATGTACTAAATGAACATCATGCTGTATTGAAGAAGACTTGAAAGTAGAGATTGAGACCATAAACTCATGTTTACAATGTTTACTGAGGTAATAAATCAAGAGAGAAGTAGAGTCATTTTCTCATAGACTTCTATACAACCAGAGGAGTCGCCCCCTGGTGGACACTAGAGAGAATGCAGCTTTGACACATGAAGCTTTGGAGAACCCGAGGTTGTTTCCTGGTCCTGACACGATTAATGGGAGAGATTTTTATATTGTTATATTTTGCACCGTTATTATTATTATTTTATTGGTGAACTATTAGATTATTGTTTTGTATTTGAGGAGTTATTGAAGCGACATGAGGAGATTAAACAATCATTAGAGGCTCAATGAATCCTGTCTTCAGTCAAAGACCAGGACCCCCCCACTCTGTCATCCCCAGGACAACTTCCTGCACCCCCCTCTGTGTGTCTTTATTTAAACACACTCAACACTTTACATTACACTTACTGTACATCTCACTTGTTTATTTTATGTTACTGTAAACTTAAATATGTTTCTACGTTTTGCACTGTGTTGATTGCACCACCCGTCCTGTCAAATTCCTTGTATGTATAACATACTTTGGCAATAAAGAGTTCTGATTGTAAATGAATGAACGTTGTCTACAGAGAATACCTGGAGGGTCACCAGGCTGAGATGGACTTCCTGTCGTCACAGCAGAGAGAAACCAAGAGAAACTCCAGACTGGTGAGAAGAGGAAGAGGAAGAGTGTGAGTGGTGGTGATGATGATGGTGGTGGTGATGACGATGGTGGTGGTGATGATGGTGATGGTGATGATGATGATGGTGGTGACGGTGGTGATGATGATGGTGATGATGACGATGATGGTGATGATGATGGTGACGGTGGTGATGATGACGATGATGGTGGTGATGATGACGATGATGGTGGTGATGATGACGATGGTGGTGATGATGATGATGATGATGGTGGTGATGATGATGGTGATGATGACGATGATGGTGATGGTGATGATGACGATGATGGTGGTGATGATGATGATGATGGTGGTGGTGATGATGATGGTGATGATGATGGTGACGGTGGTGATGATGACGATGACGGTGGTGATGATGACGATGATGGTGATGATGACGATGGTGGTGATGATGATGATGGTGATGATGACGATGATGGTGGTGGTGATGACGATGATGGTGGTGGTGATGACGATGCACTTTCTCTGTCTCCAGGCCTTCCTGTATGATCTAGAGAAGGTAAGCTTTGAGTCAAACTGCTTTCATATCGATCAATAAGGAATATAATATACTAATATAAATGTGTGTTCTTTCCCAGGAGATCAGAGCTTTGGAGAGATACATACGAAGACTAGAGTTTCAGATCAGCAAGGTAAAACATCTACTTCAGTCTGAAGCTCTCAGTTCATGGTTTGGTTCATGTGATGCTGATCAATCCTCATGGTTACGACTGATTGAACAGACCTTCACATGAACTGTTTCTAGCTTTGTGTCCAGCAGGTGAGTGAAGATACAAGCTCACTGGGAGCTGGTCTCAACAGGACTGAGGCAGGTCAGGGTTCAGGTTCAGGGGAGGGCTGTATGAGACCTACTGGTCCAGTAGAGACTCTGTTGATGGGGTTCTGTCTCTGGTCTCTGCAGGTGGAGGAGCTGTATGAGACCTACTGGGTCCAGTGGAGACTCTGTGAGGGAGCCGTCAACATGAAGAGAGCCTTCTGTCTGTCTTCGTCCTCCAGGGCCTCCAGAGACAGTCTGCTGGAGCTCAGTCGCAACCACCGACACAGTCTGCAGGTACCGGGTCATCGATTAGGGTTATTATAACAACCGACACGGTCTGCAGGTACCGGGTCATCGATTAGGGTTATTATAACCACCGACACGGTCTGCAGGTACCGGGTCATCGATCGGGTTATTATAACAACCGACACGGTCTGCAGGTACCAGGTCATCGTAAGGGTTATTATAACCACCGACACGGTCTGCAGGTACCGGGTCATCGTAGGGTTATTATAATCGGGTAGGGTTATTATAACCACCGATTATAATCATCGTTAGGGTTATATAAATACAGAGTGAAGCCACATTCAGGCTTTATTGACATTACATTACAGTCATTTAGCAGATGCTTTTATCCAAAGCGACTTACAATTCAGATTCTATCACAATTCTACACCGTATTTTTGGGGTTAAGTGTCTTGCTCAAGGACACATCGACATGCGACTAGCGGAGCCAGAGCCGGGGATCGAACCTCCGATCCTCTGATTGAAGGACGGCCCTGCTATCCACTTAGCCACAGTCGCCTACATGACTCCAGGTAACGAGGCCTTCAGGCTCCTCTCTCTGTGGAGGAACATGTTCAACCCTCAGAGAGGACACAGAACATCCTTCAGTCACTTGACACATGAAGGTTCCAAAAGTTCCATATTTACATTGAGTCCGTTCTGCAGCCGTACCGAGAACATAGTGTTGTAGTTCTATTAGGACATAATACTTCATCATGACAACTTTGACCCTCTTGTATCTGCTGTGCAAAGGATTGTGGGTCAGAATACACGTCCTGTATTGAGACTCAATGAATCATAACAAACAGAAAAGTGTTTCATGTGAAGTTTCTCTCTGCAGGACATGTCAGTTATGGAGGAAGAGTTAGAAATCCTGCTGGGAGAGCTTCACATCAAGATGAAGGGTACACACGCACACACCGCACGCACACACACGCACACACCACACGCGCACACACACACACACACCGCATACATGCACACACACACGCGCACACACACACACACACCGCATACATGCACACACACTCGCGCACACACACACACACACACAGGTATCAGTGACACACTAACTATCTGACATGTGTGTTAACCTGCAGGTCTGATTGGTTTCGCTCGGCTCTGCCCTGGAGACCAGTACGAGGTGAGAGATCATCATCATCATCATCATCACTCTGTTTCAGTGAAAAGAGTCAAACATGAGAACAACAATCTATAACCAATGCAAAGGAGATAGTTCATTCTTCTCTACGGGAGGAGAGAGGGAAGGGGGGTTCTGTAGTGTACTTAGTAGTCTACAGAAGTGTACTTAGTAGTCTACAGCATAGTGTGTAGTGTACTTAGTAGTGTGTGGTGTACTTAGTAGTGTGTAGTGTACTTAGTAGTGTGT